CAGCTGCTCCACATTTGAGTCACGATACAGCAGCAGAGTGTGTAGGATGCCCCTGTCTCTCATGAACTGAATTGTTTGGAACACTCAGATAAACTGTCTAGCCAGAAGAAACAACGGGAGGGGTTAAAAATGGTTTTTTCTTTTAAATGAAATCTTGCATCTTTCAAGAGGACGACACTGGGGTGTCAGACATACCTGAAGGAGTGGTGGCATCACAGGGCCCCAAGCCCCCTGCGCCTTGGCTGAGGGCCTACTGTGTGCAGGCCTTGGCTGAGGGCCTACTGGGGGGCTGGATGTGCTCTGCCAGGTGCCATGGATATAGGAACTGAATGTCACATGAGGGATTGGGAGCCCTTTAATCCTCTTGCCTCAGCCTCCCCTGCGATTGGATCACAGGTGTGAGCCACCTACACACAGTTCTGTTCATTTGTTTCTGAGGCAAGATTTCGTGATGTAGCCCAGGATGGCCTTGAACTTTTGAGACAGGGTTTCTCTGTGTAGTTTTGGAGCTTGTCCTGGAACTTGTTTTGTAGACCAGGCTGGCCTCAAACTCGTAGAAATCCACCTGCCTCTGCCTTCCGAATGCTGGGTTAAAGGCACTTGAACTGGCGGCCTTGAACTTCCTACTTAGCTAAGGATGACCCTGAACTTCTGAGCTTCTGCTTTGCTTCCCAAGTGCTGGAAACAGAAGTGTGTAACTGAAGTGTGTACCATCATAACAGGCTCCTGAGGAAGGACCCAAGTCCTTCGGCTGCTGCTCCTTGGGCCATTGCATGATTCTAAAGTCCACAGGAAAGGAAACAGGATAGATGTAACGAAACCTCCACAAAGTCTCTTTGCTTAGCAAAATTCAAAGCAAAGAGGAAGCAGATGGGATAGACAGACTGCCTGTCAGAACCCTGAGTGAAAGATTTCACCAACAGATAAGAAACAAAGAAACCCAGCCTGGTGCTTCTCAAGCCTGTGTGGGGCTGGCGGGCACGTTCCTAATCTGCACTCAGGTTCCTACCGCCTCCCATCTGGCTAGTTCACCAGGGCCCAAGACAAGCTGAAATGGCCCAAGGAATCCTCGCTGTAAAACACAGGCCAAGGGAACCTAGTGTGGATCAAGCCCTATGCTTTGCCAGTGGGCAGGGACCAAACAGGAACAGGATTCGTTTCAGATCAGCCTCTCGACTTTCCAGTGAGATGGACAGACAGGTACAAAATGATTGCAACTCAATACTCTTAACAGTTTTTAAAAATAACCACTATTGTCGGGAGCAGTGGCACAGGCCTTTAATCCCAGCACTCAGGGTTAGGGTTAGAAGCAGAGGCAGGCGGATCTCTGTGAGTTCCAGGACAGCCGAGGCTAAGTAGAGAGACCCTGTCTCCAAATAAGGAAGAAAGAAAGAGAAGAAAAAAGAGCCCTCTTGGGCTGGCCGTTTTATCTGTTCCATGTAGCTCTGTTGGTAGACAGTTTGCCTAACATAAACCCTGGGTTTGATTCCCAACATAAAACCAATCATGGTAGTTCAGACTTGTAATTCAGGCTCTTGGGTGGTAGTGGCAGGGGGATCAGAAATTTAATGTCATCTACAGCTACATAGTGAACTTGATGCCAGCCTGGGCTCCATGAGACCCTGTTTCGAAGACAAGAGAGGAGTAGTTGCTTTGTGCCTCTTCCAGCTTACTGCAGTGTCTTGCTACATAGCAACAGACACCTTCAAAGCAGCAGGTGAAGGGTGACACATGCCCAGTAGGCAGGAAGTCACTCTTGCTGCTTGAGAGCAGGAACACAGTGGTTTTAAGGAACCAGAACCCCAAAGAGGGACACACTGTAGCCCTTGAGGCCAACCCTGGGCCTGGAGCCTTTTCCATAGGCTGAGTGTCCACTATGGTCCCGGGTCACGGTTAGAGGGTTCTCTGGATGCTGCCATCCCCCCACCTCATCACAGTCAGGCTCCCTATTGCTGAACTGAATACTCGGACAGAAGACAGGATGGAAAGAATCAAGAAACATGTGTGATGTTTAACTTTGTCAACTAGACACAATGTAGATTCACTTGGGAGAAGAGAGCCTTAGATTAGAGGGGTTGACTACAATGGGTTGGCCTTTGGGCAGGTCTGTGGTGGACTGTCTTAATGAATTGATGTGGGAAGATCCAACCCACTGTGGGCGGCACCATTCCCTGGGCAGGGATCTCAGACAGCCCCATGTGGCCAAACTGAGCTAAGCATAAGCGAACCAGCAGGGGCTCACGCACCCAGCTCCCTCTGCTTTTGACTGCGGGGTATATGGCTAGCTTCAAGATCTATCCTGCCACCCTACCCTGCAGTAACAGAACTGGGGGTTGAAACACACCTTTTCCTTCTTAAGCTGCATTTGCCAGCAGGGTGTTCTCACAACAAAAATGAAATCACAACAACAGAAATGAAACTGTAACAACACGCTCTGCGGCAGGTGCTAGCGGGGGTGCCGCGGCAGGTGCTAGCGGAGACGCTCCCAGGGTTGAAGCGATCCAAAAAGCCTACCAAGTGAGGCCCACACTGGAGGAGACCAAGGTGTATGTGTCACTTTCTTGTCACCAATGGTGAGAGAGAGGGAGGGGGACAAGCTAACATGAGTTTTCATAACAAAGTCTGGCCTGTTAGTGTTATTGTTAATTTTATTTTAACCTAGAACTTGCTATGTGGCTATGACCTTGAACTTTGGATTCCTGTAGCCTCTACTTTTTGAGTGCTAGGATTACATGGGTGCCTGACCATACCCTGTTTTTTTCAGTGATGGAGATGGAACCCAGGGTCTCATGCATGCTAGGCAAATCAACTGAGTCATTGGTCCAGTGACTTTTTTTTTTTTTTTTGCCTTTGGAGACACTCTGAAGGTCCAGAGAGTCTGGAGGGCCTAAATTTGTGGGATGCTTCCTTAGATTTGGGGAAATCCTTTAGACTGTGGCAATATACACCTTTAATCCCAGCACTTGGCAGGCAGAGACAGGCAGATCTCTGTGAGTTAGAGGCCAGCCTGGTCTACAGAGTGAGTTCCAAGACAGCTAGAACTACATAGAGAAACTCTGTCTAGGAAAAAAAGAAAAAACAACAAAATGTCTGGTGTCCTCAGTGCAAATTTCCAGATAGCCGAGGGGCTGCTCTGACATTCAGGGGCTGGGACGACGTCACCAAAAGTCAGCTCATTCCCTCCCACTCCTGGACAGTCACCTGACGCTCCTGAGCCCACACATGGTATTGTACCATGACCTAGACAGGTCCCTCACAGTGACTAAGAAGTGACTTCAGAAATTGACCTTTTATTTTTCATAGAAGAAAGAAATAAAGACCAAGACCACAGGAGATGGTTTGCTGTTCCTGTCACTTGACAAAGGACACAGGGCTGGTTGGGGAAATAGTAGAACCCCTGGCTCAGATCAGGGCTAAGCAATTTCATTTTGAATAAACTGGAATTATCAAGAATCAAAAATGGACAGGCCAACAAACAACAAAATGATACCAGACCATGGAGAAAAAAGGCCCGGGGATGTAGCTCTGTCAGTGGAGGGTCTGCCTAACACGCATGAATCCCTGGGTAAAAATAGCATGGTAGTGTATGCTTGTAATCCCAGCACACAGGAAGTGAGACCACAAGGATCAGAAATTAAAGGTTATCCTTGGCTACATGATGAGCTCAAGGCCAGCCTGGGCTACATGGGAACTCTGTTTCAAAAAAAAAAAAAGCAAAAGAAGGCTGTGGAGAAGGCTCAGTAGGTAAAAGCACTTGCCAAACAAGCGTGAGGACTCGAGTCTGGACCTCGGGGAGTCACGTAAAACCTGGGTGCAGTAGTGTGCATGAGTCGGCAAATTTGAGGTTCCTGTGGGGGGGTGGGAGGAGGGGACAGGAAAGGCTCAGAAGCTTCTAGGCCAACCAGTCTGCGGTATGTCGTGCGTGGACCACAGGAGATCCTGTTTCTTTTTTATTTTTTTAAAAAATATTTATTTATTATGTAAACAATATTCTGTCTGTATGCCTGAAGGCCAGAAGAAGGCGCCAGACCTCTTTACAGATGGTTGTGAGCCACCATGTGGTTGCTGGGAATTGAACTCAGGACCTTTGGAAGAGCAGGCAATGCTCTTAACCACTGAGCCATCTCTCCAGCCCATGTTTCAACCAAGGTGGAAAGCAGGGACCAACACTGATTGTCCTCTGCCCATCACATGCATGCGATCACGTGAGCATGTCTGGACATGGATGGGGGCCTGCATGCCCCCACCCCCCTCCCCCCACCCCCTCCCCCTCCCCCCTTTAAAGTATAGTCGAGAAAAAGGGACAAACTACTCAAATGTTTGCCATTCAGATATAATCAAAGTCACTGTTTTGAGACCGGGTTACTTGTAGCCCAAGGCCTTGAGCCCACTAAAAAGGAGAACCTTGAACTTGGAACCTGGAACTGCCTGGATGCCACTACCGGTGTGTAGTAGCATGCCTGGTTTTATGGAGTCTCAGGGACGGACACAGTGCTCCCTGCATGGTAAACATGTTGTTTTACCAGCATAGCTACATCCCAGCCCCACATTAGCAGGGCCTCAAACACAAGCAGTATATTTTATAAATCTAATATGAGCCTAGACACTAAGGCATTCCTGAGCAATGACACCCAACATGGACCTCTGACCTATACACATACATGCATGCACATGCATCTGCATACATGCATGAACACACACACACACACAAAACCCTATTCAATTGTGTAGAGCGACCATACCACCTACTTGGGGCAACTGTTAATCATTTAGGTGGTTTGTATAACTGTAGATTTCTTACCCAGTGGAGGACACAGAGATTCAGAAACAGTCACATCAGGACCAGAAAAGCAGCCGTTTGCTAGTCCAAATCAGACCTCTCTTCTACCCACTTTGAACCTCAAGCTAGTGAAGTGGCTTTACCCAGCCTACTCAAGTCTAGTTGAGATTTAAGTCAGACCGTGGAGCTCGGTACCCGCCTGATATTAACAACAGGGCCATCACCACATGAGTAAAAATTTTATTCAGGAGAAAGACATGATTGTTTCAAATCAAAAGGGACATTATTCAAGTTTTGTTCCAACTCTGCACTCCAGGTGTGCGTGTTCCTGTGAGGTCCGCTCCCTTCGGCCTTCCTGGCGGCCACAAGAGTGGGAGGCCAGGCAATGGGAGGCTGTAGAGATACCAGCAGGATACACACAGCCCATAAATTTATCTTCCACTGTAGCAAGTAAAGGATGACCCAAGCAGCCAGTGCAGGCCTGTGGTCCTAGAGGCTCACGGTCATCACAGGGTGTTCAGCTGCGAGTCTTGACCAGACCGATCTGGAAAACGGCCACTGATGACCAGGGAGCTGCCAATAACTGGCCTGTCAACGAACTCCACGGTGCACAGCTCTGAGGTCCCATCAGCGCAGGGTGCATGCTCCAGTTCCAGCATCGTGATGTTGTTTGGGGCTGAAGTCGTCAGGATGTGTCTCGGCACAAACAAGGTCATCTGGGGGCCCCGTGCGGGCCAGTACCGACCAAGGTTAAAGCCGTTGATCCACACTTGACCCTGAGGAGAGAGAGAGAAACCATCAGCCGTGGAAACAGTAGTAGCTGAAGGGGCAAGAGGTGCCCCATCGAATCAGGCTGAGGATCGGGCACCCTCAATCCTGCATCCCACTATCTCATGCTGGGGGAGAAGAATGGCAGGGCTTACCCCAAATGACAATCCCTGCTGCAACAAAAATGCATTTGGAGCCCCAGACTCCAGAAGCTAGCGGCTTCAGTCCTGGAGCACCTCAGCACATTCTGCCTCTATCCTGGCTCCCAAGTGCTGCCCGCCTGTACAGCAGCCCTCCCTGCCACAGCTGCCACACCCTCCAGCAGGTGAGTCTCTGCTTTCTGCCCCACAGAGGGGCTTAGTTGTGCTGTCTGATGTGCATAAAGCCCACAGTCGGAGAACCGTCCTCCAAACAACCCAAGATGAGTGTGAGGGTGTGTGGGGCGGGTGCTGCCATCTCGGCACTTGAGAGGATTGCTTTGAGTCTGAAGCTAGCCTGGGCCATTTAGTGAGCTTAAGTCACAGAAAGAGAAAAGATGAGTATGGGGGCAGGGGCTTACTCAGCAGAGTGTCCATGTCATTGTGTTTATGTAGCATGGATTCTAATTGGTCTTCTTAATAAAAACTCGGAGTTAGCTATGCGGGGTGAAAGCTGAAGGATCAGAGAAGCAGAGCGGCAGCCTCTAGAGTTCTCACCTCTACCAGTGCTAAGACCAAAGGGGCGATCCTGTCCTCAGACTGCCCTGAGCTCCTGTCTCCTCCAGCCTTATGTTCCTCTCTCTGTCCAGCCATATCCCTTCCTGTCTCCACCTCCTTAGTGCTGGGATTAAAGGCGTGCGTCTCCCAAATACTGGAATTATAGGTGTGAGCCACCACAGCCTGGCTCTGTTTCTCTTTTAGACTGGATCAATTTTGTGTAGCCCAGGGTGGCCTCGAACTCACAGAGATCCGCCTGCCTCTGCCTCTCAAGTGCTAGGATCAAAGGCGTGCGCCACCACTTTCTGGCCTGGCTTCTCGTCTTATTCTTCCCACTTCCTAGCTGTCTGTCCTCAGGCAGGTCTCCACTTCAGTTTTCCCTCCCCAGGGACAGTGACAACAGTCTACAGTCTGAGAATGACCCCCACAGCAACCTAAGATGAAAGTGTGGGCGTTGCCATTTCAGCACGTGGGAGGCCCCAGCAGGAGGACTGTCGGGAATTTCTGGTGGCCACCCTAGCACCTGGCACAGGGGCTGTGCTCCTGGGTGGATCTGAGCAGCCTTCTTCCAACACTGAGGCAAAGCTCGCTGCGTGCACGGCCCACAGAAGGAGGTCAGCGACTCATAACTGCCTGTCTGTTGGATTAAGTCATTTAGAAAAGGGTAGCAGTTTCGAAGTTCTCAGAACTGCTCTGCTCTTGTTTTTACCATGGGATCCGTTATCTCCCTCTGTCCTGAAAGGCAGAAGCCATAACAGTTTCCCCGGCCTTTATCAGCTCCATCTCTGCCAGAGCCTTTGTTTTCAGTCTTAGAGCCCAGCTCCCGATTTCATTTGCCATGCATTAGTTTTGACGAATTTTTTTGACTACATGCAACCGTACATAAACAGGCTGGGAAGATGGCCCAGTGGGTGACAGCCCTTGCTGGACAAGCGTGAGCACCAAGTTCAAATCCCCAGCCGTCACGTCTCTTAGAGCAGCCGCCAGCACGGGAGTGCAAAGGAGAATGTTTTTTTCAGTTTTTAAAATGAGCTAAAATAATGTCTACTCTAAATCTTTTGATTACATTTGTGTGTGTGTCATGGCACATGTTGTGGTCAGAGGACGACTTGTAGGGGTCGGTCTTCCCCTTCCTCATGTGGGTCCTAGGGATTGACTGAGGTCCCCAGGCTTGGTGGCAACCACCTTACCCACTGAGCTGTGTCACTGTGAAGCAGATTTAAAGATAAACAGGAGCACTGACTGAAGACAGGGCTGAGGTACGGAGGGAGGCCTATGATTTCATCAGGACACACTCCACCATCTCTCCAGCCTCCCAGCCACGCTCCACAGGGAGCCTGTTTCATCTGCATCATCAACTTGGCTGGAGGTAGAATCATCATGAAAACACATCTCTGGAGGTGCCTATAAGGGAGTTTCTATACTTGTTTAACTGAGGAGGGAGACCTACCCTGAGGTGGGCGGCACCATCCCATGGGCTGGATAAAAGGAGAATGTGGGCCAAGCACCAACATTCCCCTCTCTGCTTCCTGTGGATGCCGTGTGACCAGCTGCCCTAGCACCTGCCACCAAGCCTTCCCCACCACGGAGGACTGCACTCTCAAACTGTTAATCAAAACCAACCCTTATTGCTATTTATTCATCAAGACGAGGTCTCACTATGCAGCTCTGGCCAGCCTGGAACTCACTATATAGGCTAAGTTGGCCTCTAACCAGAGATTGGCCTGCCTCTGCCTGCTAAATGCTGGGATAAAAGGTGTGCACTCTTCTTGCTTTTTTCTGGTATGTGTTAAGAACAATGAGAAAGTAACTAATACAGAGCCCTAGTTGGTGCTGTGTCTATGAACTGCAGAGTCTGGTCTCTTCTCTGCATGAACACGCACACGTGGCAGCCAGCCCTGGAGGTGCTGTGTCTATGAACTGCAGAGTCTGGTCTCTTCCACTATGTGAACACGCACACGTGGCAGCCAGCCCTGGAGGTACCTACTCCAACTTTCAGCTTCCCCACCGCGTTCCCGCCTCTGCACCTCCCCAGCTGTCCGTGCTCATCCCTTTCTCCATCACCTGAACACCTACACTTGCTCATCTTGCCTGAGCACCGGCACGGCCTCAGACCTAGTACTGTTAGCAGACGCAGTCTCCTGAGCTCACAGTTCACAGCTGCAGTCCCATGTACCCCCTCAGAGGGTAGGGCCATGACCTCTGCATCTTTGCCTTTCTAGTCTAAGTCTTTAACCTCTCTCCTCTTCCAAGTTATTACCAATGTTGGGTATGCCACTGGTTTGGTGACAGGTCTGTCAATCACTTGGGGGCTATAGCACAGACTTGCTATAGAAAAAGACTTTGTTCATGTTATTTGGGCATAATCTAGCACTCATCCAAGGAAAAAATACATGCATGAACATACACTATTGTGCATACTACACAGATATTCAGTATCTACTCAGCTAACTCACTAGGTCATATCTGTTGATAATTCTGCTTGAGACAAGATATGGTGAAGAGGGACTGGAGAGACGGCTCAGCAGTTAAGAACATTGGTTGTGCTTGCCAGGGATCGGGGTTCAGTTCCCAGCACCTACATGGTAGCCCACAGCCACCAGTAGCTTCAGTTTCGGGGGATCCTATGCTCTCGTCCCCTGACCTCCATGGAAACCAGGCCACACTTGTGGTGTACATACAAGAAAGCAAAACACTCACACAGATCAAATCAAAGTTTGACAAAGTCCAAACGAATGAAAAGATACAGCAAAGAGGTGGCATGGAGCTCCACTGGACAGGTTACCTCACGTTCCTCAACTCTCAATTAAGAGTAAGAGTTAAGCTGGGTGGTGGGGACGCACGCCTTTAATCCCAGCACTCGGGAGGCAGAGGCAGGCGGATCTCGGTGAGTTTGAGACCAGCCTGGTCTACAGAGCTAGTTCCAGGACAGGCTCCAAAGCCACAGAGAAAGCCTATCTTGAAAAACCAAAGAGAGAGAGAGAGAGAGAGAGAGAGAGAGAGAGAGAGAGAGAGAGAGAGAGAGAGAGAGAGAAATATTTATTTACTTGTTTTTTTTGGGGGGGTTGATATACATGCTAAAATCATGTATATGATTTTGAGGAAAACTTGTGGAAGTCGGTTCTCTCCCTCCAATATAGCTCAGTAGAAGGACTCTTGCTTAGCAGACTTGGCTAACCTAGGCTAAGTGTGAAATCCTGTCACCAAAGAACAAGAAGAAAGAAAGATACTAAAGTTATTCTTGGGAAATCCAAAGGTTTATGTTAATGAGGTGAGTTCAGGGGTTTAGGGACAAGCGTTAATAACAGAAGAATCAGTGGCTTAGGGGTTGTCCCATGGCAGCCCCAGCTTCTATGGTCCCTGAAAAAGCCTATCTCTGACCATCTCAACCCCGGCACACTCCTGCCCTCTGCTACTAATGCTAAGGTGACAGCAATGCTGAAGTTATTGGAAGTGCCTGACCTACTTCTCAGTTGATCATATAGATCTGTACACTCAAGTGTGTGTGTATGTGTGTGTGTGTGATGTGTGCATATGTGCATGTTTGCACGTGTGTTTTAACTTGATAAGGTCAGCCTTCTGAGCAGTATTTAGAGTGCAGCTTCCTTTCTTTTAAAAAAATTATTTATTTTTTTATTTCACATATACATTGGTGTTTTGCCTGCATGTATGTCTGTGTGAGAGTGTTGGATCCCCTGGAACTGGAGTTGTGAGTTGTCATGCGGATGCTGGAAATAAACCTGGGTCCTCTGAAGAGCAGCCAGGGTTCTTAACTTCTGAGCTGTCTCTCCAGATCCTAGAATGAAACTTTCAATATGGTCTTTTGTTTTGTTTCTGTCTGAAACAGAGTCTCACTACGTAGACCAGTGTGGCCAGGAACTCAGAGATCCATCTATCTTTGACTCTGGAATGCTTGGCAAAGGCATGCACCACTACACCTGGCCCTCAATCCTGTTTTAAGATCTTCAGAAGTTCCTCTAAAAGTGAAAATAGACTTAGCATCGTGGCACAAGACTTTAATTGCAGCACTCAGGAGGCAGAGGCAGATGGATCTCTGCCTTCCGGGCCAGGCTGGTCTATGTAGCCAGTTCGAGGACAGCCAGGGCAGCATAGTGAGAACCTGTCTCTAAAAACCAAAAATAGGGCTGGAGAGATGGCTCAGAGGTTAAGAGCACTGGCTGCTCTTCCAAAGGTCCTGAGTTTAATTCCCAGCAACCACATGGTGGCTCACAACCATCTGTAATGAGGTCTGGTGCCCTCTTCTGGCCTGCAGGCATACACACAGACAAAATATTGTATACATACTAAATAAA